GGTTTTTTTTAAGAAAAAAGCAAAAAAAAAGGTCTAGTTGTAATGGTGCTGTGTTTCTTGAAATCTCTCTCCATGTAACGTTCTCTTTCTTCAGCTTTAGGATACATCTGAAAATCCTGAAGGCAGTATTAGGCCCTCTTATGTAAGTAAGCATCAAAAGTTAAAGTGGTAACCAAGGCAGTTATAAAAATGTGCATATTGACTCTGGTAATTCTTTAACGTTTTCTTAAGGGAAAAAATAGTCATGTTGCCATGTGTAAAATAACTGTGAGCTCATTAGCTCTTTTTCTGGGAGTCTTTGCTTTATGAAAATACTGTTGTTGAAGTGGAAGAGTTTTAACCTGCGGATTTTGTGGTTGATTATGAAACTTATGAGTGCATGAACTTCCAGTGTGCAAAACTATTTGGTCAGAGACATGCTAAATTATGTGTTACAAAAATTAATTTTAAAAAGCGAAGAAGTGTACCTTGTTTCCAGGACCTGGTCTAACATAAACGTGATAGGCGCTTGACTATTGAATGGTGAATGCTCATTTTAAAGTTGATGGAATTATCAATGGCATAAAGATGAGCATGTTTGTGAATGCTTAGGATTTGGGGGGAGGGAGGATGTCTTTACTAATGCCAGTGAAAATTTAAATGTTGTTGATCTGTCAGCTTTGTGTGCGACCTTTTTGGCCTACAGTATACACAACTTTTTTTTTTTTTTTTTTTCTTAGGAAGAGTATTTACGTCCTTCAGAATGCCCAACTCCAATGCTAAATTTCGTGGTAACCATAGAGGTGGTCAGGAAGCCGGCAGGAGGGAGCTGGTTTCCAGGTCTTTGCAGAGTGCTCAGCATTGCTTGGAGGACCAGGATTTTGGAACTGCATATGCTCACTATCTCCTGGTACTAAATCTAGCTCCTGAGTTAAAAACTAGTGTCAAAGTAAGTGCTCTTTGAATTGCTTGAAACAATTTTATTTACTGTATTCCTCTTAAGGCTTTGTGACGTGTTTTGTGCTTGTGATTTGTTATATGTAACTGATTTTCCTATCCAGTCTTCAAAATAAAAGCAGAAAACAGTAATAACAGAGACAACCAGTAACTTGTTTAATAAGCTCTGTATGCTTATGGGAAGGGAATTGATACACTTTTTTTTTTTTAGTCTGTGTGTGTCAACTAAGTTTAATAAAAATAGGGCCTCGTTAGTATTGGCTTGTAGTGTAGCATGCATTAATATAGACGCAGGCTCTTAGTATACACTGCTGGGTGATGATACTCTATGTGGATATCTAAGAGCTTATTTCTGCTTCTTCAAGTGAGCCAACTAACTTGGGATGATAGCAAACAATTGTATGCTGTTGCTTGGGGAAATGAGGGTGTTCAGGTGCATGTCAGGATACCTCTAGATGTTTTCAGGGCTTAGTTCCTTTTCAGGGCTCCTAACTTCTGTTAACTACCAGCAACTCAGTGGTACATGTTTTATTTTCTAGGAAACATTTCAGTTTACACTCTTTAAATGGGCAGAAGAACTAGATTCTCTGGCACGGATTCAAGATCTGTTTAACTGTTACGAACAAGCACTTGAACTATATCCAAATGATGAAGTGATATGTAATAGTATGGGGGAACATCTTTTCAGGTTTGTAGTATTGTATATTCAATTTTTGTAAGGTTCACATTTAGTATTGTATGTTAATAAACAAAGCCCAATTCAGCAGAGCACATAAAATGTGCTTAAAAGAAGTAAATGCAAGCATATTCTTAATGCTGTATAGAGTGTACTGTTGAACTTCAGATCTGTTTGTCAGCATAAATAGAGTAGCCAATGCTAAAATAATTGTTGATAGTCACAGCAAAAGTAAAAAAAAAAAAAAAAAAAAAGTAAAAGCACTTTTACTAAAGTAAAAACTTAAAAGTAAAAGCATTGCCTTCAAATATTTTCTAACAATTTATTAAGGAATGACTAAACAAAAAAGAGACCAAAATTGTTCAGAGTCACTGTCTTAACTATTGTTGTGGTTAACCTACAATTTTTGAAGTTCTTCCTTTCTTTCCTGTTAGATCCCTGAGAACTACTGCCTTTGAATACTGTCTTTTAATTCTGGTCGTTCTTGAGGTCACATATAACAGACCTTTGAAGTGAAGAAGCTGGTCATGTATACTGTACTGTGTAGGGCTGTTCTTAAATGGTTTGAGCTTATGCTTTTATTTATTAGTGTAAGGCATTCTTTTCCTACTTCCTCCAAACAGTGCAAAACGTGGTGCTTTGCTATTGCTCAGGGTTCTAAGGTCTTCTGAGGCTGGAATTTTAAGATTGAAATCATAGGTCGTGGATCCAGATCGTTTTAATTAGGTTTGGTTTTTGTGGTTACTTTGTTTGTTTTAAGGAACAACTCTCCCAGCATTGTATTAAAATGTACATGTTTCTTGCATTTCATAGATTTTGGTTTTTTCCCAGTGCTGTCTGATTTGAGACTATGCTATAGGTATCATAAAAACTTGCTTCAAGTTCACAATTTCATTTCAAAATTGCCACTTAATGCAAGCGCTGGCAACTCAAAATTTGGTTGTTTTACAGTATGTTCCAGTTAAATATGGTAAAGCGGTTCTGGGGTTTGTAGCATTCTCTTGACTTGAAAATCTGTGAGACTGGATTGCAGAGTTGCTGCTTTCATATTGTTGCAACAAGTTCTTGTAAAGCCTGTTCTAGTTTGTCAAAGGATGTAGTAGAGGATGAAGACTGGTATACACAATGGTATTTTTGGACTATCTTTGCATTTTAAAGTGATTTGATATCAATGTTTCTAAAGATAATCTTTCTAATGCAAAATATTTCTGTTGTCTTTTAATTGATGTAAGACCTCTTTACAGACCCACAGACATTTACAGATACTGGGCAGCTGAATGCATGCCTTCTATTTATTTGTCATTTTTACTATTAGAATGGGCTTTAGAGATGAAGCAGCTGGATATTTTCATAAAGCAGTGAAGCTTAACCCAGACTTTGCTGATGCGAAGGAGAATTTTTACCGTGTTGCAAACTGGCTTGTGGAACGCTGGCACTTCATCATGCTCAACGATACCAGGAGGAACCTTACTTACCTAAAAGCAATTGAGAACGCTGTCTGCTCAGGGTGCAAATCTGTCCTTGATATTGGAACAGGAACAGGAATTTTGAGGTGTGTTGTAAGTGCATATTTAACATGAACTTAATGGAAACATATTTGTCGTCTAGCAAAATTTGGTTGCTAGTGAAAAAAAAAATTACTTTCATGCCTTTACTGAGACAAAACTTAAGAAAGGAAACAAAGCTTTCAGAAGTCAGTGAGTCTGGGGGTTAGTGTCTAGTAATATTTTTTGAACCCTTTTTTTATTATGTGTTGCAGATGTTTTTTCTGCCGATAACTGCTGTATAAATTGAATTACTCATGTTGGTTTTGGAGTTGTAATGTCATGTGTCCTGTCTTTAAGCATTGAGTCTAGTATAAAGATAGCATAGCTGGGGGAGTATCCTTATGCTACCTGTAATTTTTTTTTTTGTGATGGCATATCAAGAGGATATCAATTTGTGCGATATCAGTGTTCACACAAGAGATACTAGTTCACTTAATGATGATTTTTAGACTTGAACTGTTTTCTTAGAAATAGGAAGCAGATGTGGAAATAGAACTTAAGAAAACTCAGTATCTTGTCATGCTTTACCCAAAATGATTTAAACTGGAGGGGAAAAGCCTGATTCTTGTTTTTCAGTATGTTTGCAAAAAAGGCAGGAGCATCTTTTGTCTATGCCTGTGAATTATCAAAAACCATGTATGAACTTGCCCGTGATGTGGTGGCAGCAAATAATATGGAAAGAGAGATCAAACTTCTGCATTTGAAGTCACTTGATATAGAAATTCCAAAGCACATACCCGAAAGGTACGTTGTTGTGCTCTGTTGTGATGTTATTTTTAATTTGCTCTTAATTTCTAGGAAATAGAAAATACCCTGTGACCTAAACAGGAAATAACTTTGCCTAGGATATTACCCAGAGTGTGAGAAGGTTCTCTGTATGTTTTATGTTTTTATAGAGCAGTGCAGAAATGATAATGTGTTCTTTAGATCGTACTGATTTCTATGGTAGATCAACAATGTCGTGAATTAAGTAGATTACTACATCATAAAAGTCATTTTAACACACTTTTATACATAACAACTTGTGGCTCACTTCTGTAGCCCATGAGTAGGATGGAGGTATGTAATAGGGCCTGCAAAGGAAGACTGTTTCTGGGACGTGCCACACCCCTGCAACTCCACATCAACTTCTGCATTTGTCAGAGGTCAGAGATTGCAGATTGTCTGCCTCTTCTAATCAGGGAGGGAGGGAAAACCTCCCTTCCCCTCTGTCCCCTAAGGAGAGTGCTACTGTGTTTGGAGGTCAGAAGGTGCCACATGATGTGCGTGGGTTCCGTGTTGTTGTCATCTGGAAGGCTGGTGGTGGCTGGGCTGACTCTGGCTGTGAATGTCAGCACCCTGCCATGGGAGGGATCCATAGGGCTTTGAGTGTGGCTTTAGATATTGGAGTAAAATTCAGTGGAAGGGTGTTGCAATTTGTCCTGTGAGAATAGGTGTTTGTGTTTGTGTTGAGCTTTTTGTTTGTATATATGCATCTACTCACCTGTTTGTATAGCAGAGATCCATGTGCTTTAGAAAATTAAGTAGCTTATTTTTCCAATATTAAGTGATGTCTTCTAAAGCATAGTAAGAGCTATGGGAACAAATCAGCAGCTTGGAATTGCTCTTGGCAAATTAGAATTTGATCAGCATGGCGGCTTTCAGTATATGTGATCTTGGCTTTTTATGCTACCCTGCTCCTCCTTGCTCACTATCACATTCAGCAGGGGTTCTTCAGGAGAGTCTGTAAATTTTTAGCAGGTAGATATCTGAGGGGATTTTTTTTTGTTGTTTTGGTATATGCAAAGGATTGATTTATCACTTCAGCTCACCGCAATTAGGGATGCAGATGAAATATGGGAAGGAAATAAGCCATTTTATTTTTAATTACTAACATTTACTAAAGAGTCTGGTGATGGTACAGGCTCATGATCTAAAATGATGAAGCTCCCATGGTTTAGCATGACAGTCAAGCCTTGTCTAATTGTGTCAGCTGAGTTACAGTAACTGATCGTATGTATCCTCTTAGTGTATATGATGAGTTACTGGATGTCATCTGTCAAGAATAAATTGTTACTGTTCTGGAAATGTCTTGTCGTATCACACCGTATGTTTTTTGGTTTAAATCCAAAGGATTTAGGATTTTGGGGTCCATTAGCCTGCATTTTAATTTTATTGTGCTTTGATTATAGGTTTGGGTGGGTTTTTTTAATTCCTTTTTAACACACATTCATGGATGCATACTCTTGCACAAGATTCAGACAAAATACATATTCTGCAGTATCATTGGCTGTATGCCCAGGCTGAAACATTCAGCCTTCCTGTTTTGGCTAGATTCTTCCCACGCAATTTATTTATAAATGCTGAACAAGAAGCTTTATGGTAAGCTCTTGCTCAATATTTATTCTCTTTTATCTGCATCTTGAATAACTTCTAACACAATTCAAAACACGTTATTTGTTGGAAGAATTAAATTGTCCATCTGTATTGAAACTTCAGAACACTGGTAAAAGTTTTTCTCTGAGCTCGCATTGGTATGGTGGTTTTTCTATCTTTAAAAGAATGATTGTTAACAGGAATGTGTGTTATACATTATATCTCATGGTGTTCTTTATCTAGAGTTTCCTTGGTTGTCACAGAAACAGTTGATGCTGGTTTATTTGGAGAAGGAATTGTGGAGAGCTTGATACATGCTTGGGAACATCTACTTTTACAACCAAAGGTAGGTGATGTGGGTACGTGCATATAAATGGGATTCCTATTTTGTTTGGTATATATTTGTGCATATATATGTGTGTGTGTGTTGCGCGCACTTGTGCACCCATTCACAGATATATGTGAATGAGGAACAACTGTCTTGTAAATATTTCGTACCTATTGATATTTTAAAAATGAGTGATCTGGGTTTGTTCTATGAATGTGATTTTGGTGAAAGGCAGTGAGGCAGCTGCATACGTTGTACTTCTGTGAGCTGTGTACTTCTGAGTAGACAGGTACTTGCAATGCATGTTTTCCTGATGTAACCTTCCATCTTACAAAGATGGTTCATTCTTGATCACTGTTCATCCCTCTTTGTAAGTAACATCAAAAGGGTTTGTGTGTGTTTTAAAGGCACTATTTTCCTGCAAGTTTGATTACAACCTGGTCATTTTGAGATACCAACTAGTATCAGAAAGTTGTGTCAATCTAAGCAGAAAATGCTGAATTATGGTAGAATTATTTCTCATCATAACGCTAGGGAACAGTCAATTATAATTTGGTAAATATGCCATATGCTTATGCTTTTAATGTATTTTTGCTAACTTTGAACTTTTTTGGAAGACTGAACAATTTCACTGGGTCTCGGATTTTACTTTATGTATTTTGCATTTTAGCTAGCATACATTAAGCAAAGTAATATGACAAGAAGTCTTACATGGGTTAACCTCTGTTAGGTTTTATGAAATAGAAGGACTGATCTTTTATTTTGATGTTGCCTTGATTCCAACTAATTTAAAAAAAAAAGTCTTACCTGGCTGAAAGCTTTTGTATTGTATTGAGCTGAAACTGATGACCTCTAGTGTTAAGTATAGGAATGATGCATAAAGGAAAGGTTCTCAAATGTTTCAATATATTCTAACAGAATACAAATTAAAAAACACTTTTAGAATTACACAGGGGAAATAGTAGACTGAAAAATAAAGCTGAAGCATGGATATATTGAAACACAGTATTTAAGAAACTCCTTTAATGGTCAATCAGAATGACAAAGACCAGAAATTTTACTAGTCACTAAGAATTTACTGATGTTTTGACTGTAATCTTGAATGGCTTATTAATATGTAACCTAGGCTTTGCAGTAATGCTAGAAATAGGTCACTGTCTCATTGCATGTTGTTATTCATGTTTTTCACAGCCTAAAAATCAAGATGTCAGTATTGGAGAGTATGGCAGAGTTATTCCTGCAAGTGCTACAATATTTGGGATGGCAGTGGAATGCAAAGAGATACGTAGACATCACAGGTATGTTTAAACTCTAGCAGTTTGAACCCATATTTGTTATTTGGGAAGAGAGACCAGTGGTTTTTGTTGAGGATTTTTCATTTACTGTTCTACTGTTCTCTTTATTTTTTGAATGGCTGATTATCTGTTTCACTAAACAGATTTCTGCTCTTACCCTCCCCCCCCTTTTCCAGGCCTTCCCCACC